GGCTCGGCACCCGACCGGCCGCGCCTGGGGGAGCTGGGGACCGTGCTGGTTCCGGGAGCTGGAGGGGGAACGGGTCGACGACGCACAAGCGGGAAGGGCAGACGACTGCTGACCTCCCTGGAGACCAGATGCTGGGGCAAAAGGTCTGGGCGCACCGAGGCTACCCGCACACACCACCGCGCTATCTAGTTGCAAACCCGGGAGCCCCTTCTCCCACCACACTTGCGCCCCCTTCGGACCTTCGGGACCCAGCGGCTAGGACTTCACACTCGTTCCCTCGCCCCCGCCCCTGCTCCCGCTCCGACCGACCTGGAAGGCCTCTCCTCCCTCCTCCCGCTGGCCCCGGGAGGATGGGAGGGAGGGAAGGGGCAGCCCCGCCTCCCGCAGGAGAGGGGAGCGCCTCATTACGCTGGGTTCGCCGGGGATGCCCAGCTCCCAGCGCCCTCTGCCTCTGCTTGTTGCCGGGGACGTCCCGGGCCTGCCGCCCTCTGCCCTCGGGGACCTCCCTTCCAGCAACAGCCAAGAGCCCAGGGGAGAGGCTGCAGCCCCTGAGAGGGGGAGCAGGCTCCCCCGGCCTTGGAGGAAGGCTGGGGCAGCCCCAGAGGCCTGGGAGGCGCAGCTGCCAAGCAGATGGTAACTCCGAGGGGGCCAGGTGCTGAGCAGCGCTCGTTAGCCTCGCCCGCAGCCCACAGCACCTACTCCCTCTGGAGACCGTCTTTGCTCGGCAGACCTGGTCACAGAGAGGGGCAACTGTCCCAAGGTCGCGCAACCTGCTGGTGGCAGGACTAGGAAACACACCCAAATCGCCCAGGTGAAGTCTCCCCTGGCTCAGCCGACTGCCCTGCAAGCGGCTGAAGAGCACCTTCTGGTTCACTCGTCCCAGGGATGGAGGCTGGAGGGAAAACGGGAAGGTTTTTAGTGATGTAACATCTGGAGGGCTGCCTGAGAGGAGCCAGCCCATCTCCTTCCCAAACTTCCTGAAAGGGTTGCCTGGCCTCCAGAGACCAGACCCCTTAGGGGAGAGAGGAGGAAGAGGGCTGAAAATCAAGAGACTGAAGCAATGTAGCAAAGGGAAAAAACATGACCTTTAGCCTGAGTTCGAATCCCAGCCCTGTCATTTGCAAGCTATGTGACTTTGGGCCAGTCATTGCTCCTCTCTGGACTCATTGTCTCTGTAAAATGGCCACACATATGGCTAGCCAGCGGCCTATGCACCTGGCAGGACAATTACAAGAACAAAATGAAATCGGGCTCCTCATGCCTGGCTGAGAATGGATGCCTGAAACAAACATTTGAGGAGTGACTTAGTGAGAAAGCACAATAGCACTTCATTCGTTCCGCTTTGGAACCCTCAGAGTTGGGAGCATCCTTAGAGCTTACTTACTCCAACCCTGCTGAGTACATATGGGGAAGCTGAAGCTTGAGCCAGTCAGGCCTAGCCCAAGTCCCGCTACTTGTCAAGGGCAGAAGCAGCAAGTCTCCGGGCTGCTTGTGCTCCGCTCCACAAGCCACCTGTCTCCGTTCATGACGGCTGGAGTGAGTGTCTGCTTTGAGGTTAGCTTTGAGGCCAAGGGCCCGGGAGAGAAAACAGCAGCCTAACAGGCAGGATGATAAAGTTACGGTGAGCTCTGACATTTGGATCATGCATTCTGCTTTTCCCCCAAAGCATTTTTCCATCCATTATTGACCTTGCATCTCAAAATAAATACCTTCCGAGGTAGAAAGAGGAGATGTTGCATCCCTGTTTAACTGATGTAGCAGAAAGAGGATAAGGGACTGGCCCAAGGTCGCAGGCTAATGACGGAGTCAGGAGCTGCCACTCTTCCCAGCTGCAATCCCGGGTCCCTGTAGGGAACTCCCTGCAGTGGTGACAGCATGCAGGACTGGAACCACCCCCCTCACCTCACATTCACCTGGCTCCTTGCTGCTGAGAGATCTAGAGCCGCTACCACAGTCCCACTGTACAGAAGGTGAGCAGACACAGAGAGGTTGACGAATCTCTGTACTCACAGCCGGTAAGAGAGAGGAGAAATGGTTATGAATCCCATCTGCTTTCCTGCTTACCTTGCCTTGTTCTAAGTAAGATTAAGGGTAGCAGCTTCCCACCTTCCCAGCTCAGTTTGCAGCCCCTTAAGGAAGCACACACCCCTCCCGGGTACATGGCACTTGGCAGTTTAACAATTATCTCCATGATGACCATCTTAATAATTAGATGTGGACAGCACTGGCCCATTGTACAGGTAAGCCCCAGCGCTTGCCAGTGGCCGAAGCAGCAAGTCTCAGGACTACCGTTGCTCCACTGCACAAGCCACCTGCCTCCATCCATGAAGGCGTTAGTGCGTGTCTACTTCGAGGTGAGGTCTCCAGAGCTTCACAGAAGTTCCGCAAGGGGACGCGTGAGTGGCTGTAGCATTCCCTCACCTCCACTTTCCCCGCTGCCTTCAATCCACTCTCCACATCTTCCAGCCTTCGATGGGGCATCCCTTCATCCTGGAGGCAAAGCATACCATGAGACTCCCTTCCTGCCTATCTCCCTCCACCCCCAAAAGACAGAAGGTTGGCTCTGAGTTAGAGCCCCAGGACCAGATGAGGGAATGAGCCAGCGAGGAGCCTAGCAGCACACGGTCGGGGGCCAGGGCCCTGGATGAAGATTTCCCTGGGACAGTCAAGTGCAGGTCCCTGCTCTGTTGTTTCCTAGTTTTTGGTCCTTTATCTCTCTAGACCTGTTTCCTTGTCTGTCAAATGGGGGATAATAATAGTTCCTCCTGGTGGCTTATTCTGGGTTGGGAGATACACACCACGCCTGGCGCATAGTAAGCCCTCATTAATGCGGTTATTATTGCTACTCTTGACCCTCTTTGTGGCCGTGAATAAATGGCTTCTCCTCACTAGGCCTCTAACTCTACATCATACATGGGAAATTTAGAGATCACGGCTTTTTTTCAGTCGCAGAACCAGTTCTCCCAAATCTAAAGTATATGAAATCTGCTTGAAGCAAAAGCAGGGGTCTCAGAGTCCTACTGTTCAGTTTCTCCTGAAGCTTCCTCACCAAACACCTAGATTTAATAACCACAGATCTGGACCATCTCCATGAACCCTTTCCTTTTTTTTTTTTTTTTATTAATT